GGCGGCACTTCCAGCGGATTCCCCTAATCTGCTTTGCCCGGCCCCTCCGCCCTCAATCTCTTGGGGTTTGGCAGGAGCTGCTTCAAACCCGCCATGTCCTGCCCACGGAGCAACTCCGGGCTCGAGTGTCCCGACACCCCGTGGGCACCGGTGGGGAGCACATCCCCATCACGGTGCTGTCCCTGTCCCATCTGCTTTGGCTTCACCTTGCCACGGATGGAGATCCCCCAAAACCAGGATGCTCCGGGAAGCATCCCCTGTCCCACCGGTGTCACCCCAAGGCAAGGCACCCATGTTGGGGTGAGCGTTTCCCTCCCCTCTAATCGGGGGGTCCCCTCTCTGCCCACAGCACGGCTGTCGGCATCGGCTTCTACGGGAACAGTGAGACCAACGATGGGGTGTACCAGCTGCTCTATGCCCTGGACCATGCCAACCACACCCTGACCGGCATCGACTCGCTGGTAGGGCCGCGGGGAAGGGTCCCCCCATCCCACACCTTCCATTTCCCCCAGGGTCGCGTTGATCCCCCATCCTGGGTCTGGTTAAAGCACTGGGGAGGGACGCATCCAGCTGATCCCTGGATGCATCCAGGGATCCAGACGTCCTGCGCTGCTGGCCGAGCCCCCGGGGCGGCCATGCCACACCGAGCATGGGAGGGTGACGTCACCCTGCAGAATGGGGCCTTTGTGGCCGGGAAGGGCTGTGGCGGGGCCGTCCCAGAGGATGGATCCAGCTTGAGCACGCGGGGTTGATGTGGGGCTGGCTTCCTACGGATGGGGCGAACGGCTCCGCCGGGTGCGGGTCTGACAGTGGGGAAGACCCCAGTGCCGTCCCGGTGGGACCGACCGTCCCGTTGTCCCCAGGTGGCGGGCACCACGCTGCAGATGCAGGTGGGTTTGGAGCAGCACCTGGCGCGGCTAAACGAGCTCCTGGCCGCGCGGGGGGACTACCTGCAGACCCTCAAGTTCATGCAGCAGTTGGCCGGCAGCATCGTCCTCCAGCTCTCGGGGCTGCCCGTCTGGCGGGGCGCCAGCGCCGACCTCACGCCGCCCTCACCACGCTGGCTGGCCACATCTCCTACGTCGAGTATTACCGGTAAGAGGGGCTGTGGGATGGCGCTGGGCTGTCGGAGCGTCTCCCGGTGGGGCTGGGGGAGGTGGGCACGCCTGACGGAGCCTTTCTCTGCCCCCAGGTGGTTGGCTTATCTCCTCTTCTTCATCCTCGTCCTCACTGTCTGCCTCCTGGCCTGCCTGGGGCTGGCCAAGCGCTCCCGCTGCCTCCTTACCACGTGAGTAGCCCGTGGCTGGGCTCGGCGGTGCCGGAGCCGCCGGGGGAGGGAGGACAGAGCCAGACCCACGGCGTGCTCACCCCTCTCCCCGCAGGATGCTGTGCTGTGGGCTGCTGACCCTCATCCTCAGCTGGGCTTCCATGGCCGTGGACACGGCGGCGGCGTGGGTGAGCGGGGCCGGGAGGGGAGGGGTGGTACCGGCTGTGCCGCAGCAGAGCCAAGCACTGCGGGTGCCCGTCCCGTCCTTCCGAGCCCCGACGATGTCCCTTTTGTCCCCACAGGGCACCAGCGACTTCTGCGTAGCTCCGGATAAGTTCATCATGAACCAGACAGAGAGCGACATCAGCGCGGGTGAGGGCTGGTCCCAGGGCATGGCGCGGAGATGAGCTGAGGGCAGGGACCCCAGTGCTCCCCCAAAACCTGTGTGGAGGTTTGGGGTGGGGGATGGGGGGCGTGCGGAGCTCGCCGCTGCCGTGCTGCCCGCCCTGGCCTGCTCTCTGCCCGCCGGGGTGCTCACACCCACGTCTCCCGTTTGCTTTGCAGAGGTGGTTCATTATTACCTGTACTGTGACCAGAGCCTGAGCAACCCCTTCCAGCAGGTATGGGGGAGCTGGCACCCCACTTTGCGCTGCTTGGGGACGGGGGTGGCCTTGGGCAGCTCCATGACCGCTCCGTGCTCCCCCCTTGCAGGCTCTCACCGTCTTCCAGCGCTCACTCACCACCATGCAGATCCAGATCCAGGGCCTGATACAATTTGCACTGCCTCTCTTCCCCACAGCTGAGGTACGGGGTGGGGGGAGCTGGGGTCCCATGCCCCCTGCTCTGCTCCCCATCCCACCCACTGCTGCCTTGACGCCCCCCCCGCCCCGTCCTCTCCTGCAGAAAGACCTGCTGGGGGGCCAGCAGCTCCTCAACTCCTCAGA